TACTTTGCGGGACTTTTATTACGCGGAGTTGACTCGTGAAGTGACCGGAACAAAAGACCTCGTTGCCATCCGGGCAACGATATTTATACGGGCGATCGTTTTCCCCTTCTCCGCGTCTTTTGCGCACTTAACTTTAACGCTCGCTTTTTGCTTCTTGGATTGGCCGGTTCGCCGAACCAATCCGGCGCTTTGCTCAATGTTTGGGCTCGTCTCATTGAATAACGTTCCCAAAACTATTAGATGTCGACCATTTCCAATGTTGAACCGATAAAATTATAATTAATTCCTTTTATACGTCTTGAAAATACTTAATATCGCTTTACCTGATAGATGTTTCTAATCATTCGCGTGGATAAATATTCGACACTAAACTCATTTCTTGCAATAATTTAACTCTTCGACTTCTTATTTATAGGTGTGATGACAAGTTTGGCTCGGAGCCTTTCGCCGCTTGATATATCTCATAAATTAACTAAAATAATAATATTTTATGGATTAAATGTGGAAAAAATACACTATTTCTTTGTTACAGGTAATCACGTAACCGATTGATTCATCCGGTGGTCGGATGATACACTTTCGCTAATAATATTTCAAAACAACTATGTCCGCTGATTTTTACGAATAAATAAAAGAAAATTCATGGATTACAATCATAAATTAATGTCTTATTTTTCTGTTACACGTGATCACGTGACTTGTGGATTCGGACTTATCTTTGGAACCCTCTCTTTTGATCTCTAATTATTAAATAACTATGTATACTTCAATTATAAGTAAAATAAACGCTAACGCATGGATTGAACTTATCTTAATACATTGGCTGCCCGAATTGTCATCACGTTTTTATTCCAGATATTTAATTCTTAATTTTCTATCCAGGTAAAGGTTTTTCTTTAATTAATGGAACGTTATTCATCATTTTACGTTTTATTTTATTTCGTACACACACGTTCATTCATCCATCCATACAAAATATAAAGTGCTATATGAAATACATTAAAAGACAAAATAAAATCAAATGCTTTCTAATCTTGCTTTGTCGGATAAAACTACTACAAGTACTTAAATCTCCCAACTCGCTTATAGGTGCAAAACAAACTTAATTATGTGATCCGATAGCATATATAAACTTGACATAAAATTTAATACAAAATAAAGAAATTAAAATTAATAAGAATAATAATAATAATAAATCCATAAAAAAAATAAAACAATCTCCTCTACTCCTCCTTTTTGTCGTCCTCCATGGAAAGGGGTGGTATTATTGGCTCGAAGCGCGGACTGGCCTCTTCGAACCCCACCTCCTCCTCAGCTGCGATATCTAGAATATATTTCTTTCTGGGCCGTGTATTTTCCCGCGCCTCCATCCACTCTTTCACAATTTGCAGCGCCTTCTCTGCTCTGGCCGAACAAGATTCAGCCGTCGATAACTGCGCCGTGGACGTCTGCGCCAATGTAGACAGACACAAACTTACTGTTCATCTTTTTCTAATTTTTAAAACTAGAAAAAGACGAAGAGTAAATTTAACCGAGATTAAAATTAATCTATAATACATTAGTGGAAATGGGCATTAATTAGGTTTAATAACATTGATAGTTATGAACTGGCCAATCATAGCTTTCCTCTGAAGAATGGAATGACTGTAATTGACCATTTTCTAATTATCGATGTTTTATTAAACTCGGATTAAGAGTATTGTATAAATGTAATCATTACTTAAAACTGGTTGAAATGGGAACCGACTATGATTACCGGCTTTAGTCAATGAAATTTTAAAACTTGAGGCTGCAGCACAGTCTTTTGCAGAACGCATAACCCGTAGTGTATATGCGAATCAACAAATCAGAATCCTTCCTTTCTTTCCATTTCACTGAAAGAAGCATTTTGATTGGCTGATTTTCTTATGCATTATGCGTTATGCAAAAGTCTGTACTGCGGCCATTAAGCGGGGAGCACAGACTCTTGCATAACGGATAACACATAAGGCAAAAGAAATTCAACCAATTAGAGTTCTTTATTTCATAGAAAGGAAGGAAACGAAGGATTTTTATTGGTACATTTTCTTATGCATTACGAGTTATGCATTATGCAAGAGTCTGTGCTCTCCGCCTTAAGCCTCAAACACATAAAATGCATAAGAAGCATAAGCATAATATAAGACCACTGGGCCAATGAGCATCCAGCATAAAGTCGCCATATTGATTTACATACGATGTTCATTGGTCTAGCGGTCTTATGTTATGTTTATGCACTGTTATGCATTTCATGTGCTTGAGGCTTTATTTTTGAAAAAAAAACTTGCCTATTCTGTAACTTTTAACGACTGTAACGATATCGTTACATTAGTATTGCGTAGGTTTTGTATGCAGTAAAAAAGTTACGCAACGATAATTTAACGATATCGTAAGGGTGAAATCACACGGTGCGTAAAGGTCCATCTACAATGAGAGTAATAACGTAAACCGTAAGAAATTGACTAATCATATTAGATTATTTTTCTCATATTCGATTGTAATCGGTCAATTTCTTACGGCTTAAGACTTACTAATCTCAGATGGATCTTAATAGGACTGTGGAATAGAGAATGCGTCATTGAAGCAA